TGGTTTTGTCACAAAGGACATGCATTTTCATGGGTTCTTAAATTTGTGGATTGTATATTTTTGCAAGAAACAAAAAATTCTTCTGCTTGGTCAGGGCTTCCATTGAATTTCAAAATTTGGAAGTCAGGGACTGCAAAATTTCTTGACACCTGTGGTCACATTGTATTGGTAAAGAAGGAAAAACATTACATTTTAGAAGTCACTAGCCAAAACTCCAAACTTCCATTAACGGAAGCTCTGCTTGGTGGTTATTGTGCTATAGAAACTAAAAGCTTCTTAGGGAACTTCTTGGTAAAGCTGCACAGTTTATAGACATGTCCATTTGATACTGATATAGATTGTTGTATATTCAGTTTGAATTAGGAAAACTAGGAAATATACAGAGACAAAGGCAGTCCATGTTAGGAAGATGGAGTGCAAGTGAATCTCATATTAATGTAAGAAAAAATGTGTGTATGTGAAATCTAATGTTAGGTATAATTATATTGCTTAATGTCATTGCATAAAGCTTAATGCCATTACACAGAGCTGTATCATTAAGAATGCCATTACACAGAGCTGTATCATTAAGAATGTCATTTCACAGAGCTGAATGTCATTACACAAAGATAAATGTTACACATTACACAAAGCTGAATGTCATTTGTAACACAAAGCTGACTGCCATTACACAAAGCTGAATGTCATTACACATACATGTAGCAGAATGTCAATACCCGAATCTGAATGTCATTTTACAAAGCAGAATTTCATTACTCAAAGCTGAATGTCCTTTTCTCAAAGCTCAAAGCTAAATGCTCTTTATACAAAGCTTAATGTCATTGCAAAAAAGGTGAATGTCACTGCATAAACTTAATTATGGTTCAAAGGTATGTTTTATGTAACAGAGCTAAATGTGATTAGACTTTGTGCCAAATGCTGTGCAGACAGTAGTTATACTGAGATACCTGCCATATGGCAGAGCTAATGTAGCAAGTTAAATGTCAATGTTAAATGTTTTGTAATGTGCTAAATAAGTCTTTGTTGAGTGCTGAATGTCATGTTCTTTGTTAAATGTCATTTCACAGAGCTAAATGTCAAGTAATTATGAAACAGTAAATTTTAATAACTTTGTCAATGTGCACTGAAAATATATGTATATTTATAGTAAATATTAATACACATGGCACATTATTGTGTTTATGCAGACTTTTTTGGTGTTACTTTATTACTAAGTATACAAATAGGAAATTTCAAATAATACAAATAGCCTTGAAGTAAAATGTTACAAGAGCTTCTCAAAAGATATAGATGTGGTCTGCAGATCCCTGCATTTCAAATGCCATGCTTTAAGGTGAAGGTCAAAGATTAATGCCTGCAATTTTTAATCTGTTCTCTACTTCTAAACTGCTTGAGAGATTTTCATGAAGTTTAAGGCAAATGATGAAATTCAGAATTTATTCCCCCCTGGTTACTTGTCTGTATGTGCTGACTTTCGGCCATTAATGTTGCCTTGGGTTGCTATGGGAACAATAGGTAATACTAAATCTTCTATATGACATTGCATCCATGTCTGTGATTGATCTAGAAAATACTCTGTAAGTGCCTAAGAACAGTGAAGAGAAAACAATGGGGGTAGCCACTTAATTAAGTATCCATTTTCTGAAAATTTAGTCCAGATGGATGCCATTTCTAACATTTTTGTGTCCACTCTCTAACTTTCAAACTGCTTGTGGAAGATTCCAAAAAGCACTGCAAATTTGGGCACCACTCTTTAAGAAGTGGGTAAAAAGTCAATTATTTGAACCAGGAATTCTATGTCCACTTTGTCTCTAGAACAGCTGAAGGGCTGATCATAATACTTGTGTCACAGAACCCATATTTTAGGCTTGCTCCAGATATTACATGATAGAACAAATTTCACATAGAAATTTTGCAAAGGGACAATTATATTTGGAATTCTTTCAAATGAAATATTATTTTCATTTGCTGTTTAAGTGTGTTTTGCTGTAGCTATACATGGCTTTGTACAGTGTTGTTCTTTATAAATGGTTGAGCTTTTGGTGGAGAGGTGTGACTCTGGTTTCGGGAATTTGATTTTGTTGTTTCTTACAATTTAATATTTTTATCTAATGACCTAAGATTTAACAAGAATAAGTAAGAAAACTTCTAAAGAAAACTTATTTTATGTATTTTAATACTGACCCATTTGATAAAGAAAAAACTTGCTTATGTTTGAATATTCATAGAATAGATGAAAACTAACAATGAATATCTAAAGATAAAAATCTATATTAAGCTATGTAGCTGGGCATCAGTTTTAAATGAAGTCTTCTTTTTTGCATAAACGATTTATTGACATTAAGAATGTGATCACCATGTATATATTATTTGTTTTACTTTAGTATTACATTATATTATTGTTGCAGTTATAGGTAATCACTGGCAGGGTATTTTTTAAAAGAAAGTAAATAAATCATATTTTTGTTTGCAGACTACAGAAGGAAAAGATAAAGTGAAGAGGAATGTTCTGGATAGATGGAAGTCAGTTGCTACACAAAATCAGGTACAAATTACATATCATGAAGTATTTAGTTATTTGCTTGAAGTTAAGGGTTTTATTAATAATACTCCTAAAAACACTTTTGTCTATATAAATTGGCTTTAATAAAACCAATTAGAATAATGCTAAATTCATGGTTGTGAGTTTTTCTGATATTTTCTGATATTTTGCGCTCGTATGTGAATGTAATTATAAGGTAAACATAACAGTTTTTATATCACACACTGAAAAAGTGGAAGTTTGATTCATTGTAAATCTGAAATATTGTTGCTTTGAAAGTTAATTACTGGCAGGGTTTGATTCATTGATATTTTGAAAAAATGTTATTTGGTAATTCTGAAAAATTGTATTTGAAGTTAAAATTGATTCAAAAATGCTTGAAGTACAGAAATTTTGAAAAAAATGAAAGTTTGATTTCAGTAAATCTGAGTTATAAAAACTTCATTCACTCAAAAATAACAAAATGTTTGTAATTTTTTTTTCAAGCACTCACCAAGTGTGACTTCACCTAAAGACAGAAAGGTAGTTTTAGAAAAACGGCTCAGTGGTAATACAGAATTTATTTCATCAAGGTTTCTTGAAAAGGCAAGTAAAAGTATTGAAGACACAACAGTATCAAAGACTCCCGTCTCCTCACAGAGAAACAGTTTTACACAGTCTATAGACCAAAGAAAAACTTCACAATCTTCTGAGGCCCAGTCTGATGTATCGGAGGATTCAACTCTAAACCAGTCTAAAACAAAAGTCACCACTAGATGGCAGTATGATCGGACAAATTCTGAGGTTTCAGAGGAATCGCCAGTGAAACATTCGAGAGGAAATGTCGCAAATAGGTGGCCCTTTAAGGGAGGTGATGAAACTGTAACAGCTGTGTCAATACAGACTGTCAGTGTAGGGAGAGGTGGTCACAGTAGAGAATCGAGTTTAGATAAAACACGAAGCAATAGCACTACATCAAGTGTTGATGTAAGTATACTTGGCAGTTAAGATCATGATTTACATATTATGGGCAGGCATAGGGTAAGGTCATTGCCGCAAAATGACTTAGAGAGCATCTGAACTCAAGGTTTGATCCTCTGGCAAAGAGAAATTTCTCTGGGATAATTGATTTAGGACATTGAGTCTAATAGTCATTTGTCTCTGGCAGCTGTTCAAAAATCATTTGGAATTAGGAGTTGTTCACTGGCTGAAAAACTGATAATTACTGGTTAGTTTCACAGGGAAGCCGGTTAGGTGAGCCGATTGCTTAGAATGGACAATAAAGTGTTTAACTCTGGGGAAAAACCAGACAAACCATGTTATAGTAATTGCTTCTAGTGACTGCAATAATGCATGCAGGGGTACTTTGAATAAAAGTTGAATTGTTGCTATAGATCTTCAACGATTTTAAACTCTTCAGAAGATCATAATAATGAGAATGTGAAAAATGTATGGTTACAACCCATTTTACGTAATTTTATATTATACAGCATTAGAGACTTAGTAAAATGAATCATTATGACAAATTGTACTGGTATCTCTTTTACAAAATATTTTATTTTATTCTTTTCTTCTTTTTTTTTCAGATGTCAAATTGGTAATTTTTGTTTAGACATGATGCATTTTGCTAGCATGTTTGATTTTTAGATAATTTCAAGATTTCTTGCATGCTTTTAAAAAAAGCACACTTTTCAGTAATTTACTTTGAGAATATTTTTTTAATGTTGATGCAATTGAATGTTGTATTTTGCATGGTGTGTGTGTAAGCAGGGTTTGTCACAAACATCAAGGAGAAGTTCGTACCAAAATCAGGTAAGATTTTACTGAATGTAAAAGATACATAGTTTCACAGAGAGAGACATTGCCCGTATGGTAAATTTACAGATTATGTGGGTAAACAAAACTAAACACACATACATTAAAAAACATCAGGTAAGGTTAGATGGGCAATATTTTATTATGAAGTTCCATTTATATGTTTGCTATGTTCATCAGTTACTTACTGATCAGTATGTATGGTGTCTTTGAGTTATTTTTCAAACATGAATTGATTGTTTAATCTTCTAAGATAAGCAATAAGTTATTGTCATGTTTATTATTCATTTATTTTTTTGTTTTTAATTAGTGAACACATATAATTTGTAAACGTAAGCTTAAGTTGTACTTTCTCTCTTGTTTTACCATATTAAGTGTTGTTGTTTTGTTTTTTCACTTTTGATGGGCCAGTGCATACAAGATCTGAAAATAAGTTCTGAATTAGTTTCGCTATTTTAAATCATCTAGTTTCTTCTCCGATCTTTGTATAAATTTGCTTTCTTTCCATGGTTACCTTAATGGTTATCTTAGTGTCCAGTGAATATGCTTAAGTCTTGCGCTTAAGTTAGACATTGACTGTTAATATGTTAAGCAATTAGTGCTTGATAATTATTCATATAGCCTTCTAATGACCTTTAGAATTATTTGATCTATTTTTTTACAGGGAGAAGAAGAGGAAGAAGAAGAAGAGAGACTTAGACAAGAAAAAGTGAGTTTGAGATTTTACATAGTTTACTAATAAATTATAATGTGTTTTATAAAAGAGTTCACTCTCTAAGCTTAAAGAGCATTGGATTAGTAATCTAAGGGTCTCTGGTTCGGTCTATAAGCAAAGCATAATTTATCTGTGACTATTGATTTAATGGTTGGTAGAAATGGTCATTTGTCTGTTACTACGGATTCAGAAAAAATGTTGGTTTGGTATTTTGTTATTTACAGTTTCATTTGTTAGTTATCTAGGATAGGTGAATCAACCGTCATGATATGACTAAAAAGTTCTGTTAAAAATCAAAACCCAAAGTATTAATAATGGATTTAAGTCACTACATTTGGTATTAAGTGTGGTGCTTCAACACTTTTTTTTAGTCTCACTCATGAATAATAGACCTGATACATATTTTGTTTTTATGTCAGGAATATCCATATAAGTAACTGTTGTTCAGTGAATAATATTATAAAGTAAGTCTGTCATAAGACTGCACCATGCTTTGCCAAATATTTGCAGAACCCATTGGCTGTATAGATATCAGATATTTTTCAAGGATCATTGATATATGTTATTGTTACTATAGGAAGCAAGAATGGGAGCTGAAGATGGACAAAAGAAGCGAGGCAAGAGGAAGGGTCTTGGAGGACTTACTCCAGAGAAGAAAAAGAAACTAAAGGTAATAATTGAATATTGAATTTGTTCTCTATAAAAGTGACATAAAGTCCTGTTTAAAATGGTTGAGAATAGGACACAATTTACCTGGTAATTCAGTGGTTGATTAAGTTCAATGGTAATAATAGAAAAATTGAATTTGTTCTCTATAAAAGTGACAAGGAGTCAGGGTTAAAATGGTTGAAAAAAGGAACAGTTATTTAACATATCAGGTTATTTATTTGATGATTAAGATTATTTTTTGCCTAAGTAATATGTAAGATAAACCCTGCAATCGAAGTAGTAGATTTTCACTATTCATAATAAGGCTTTGCCCCTATGTCTGTGGGAAAGTTATCTCTTCCTGTTTATAGCAAGGCTATCAGTCTGTTATGTTTAAGTGAAATATAACTTTGAAAATTGGTCTCTTTAAAGTTTATTTTTCTGCAAAAAAAGAAGTAAAATGAGGGGGTGTCAGTGGCTGGGTGGTTCAAGTTGTTGACTTCAAACCAATTGCCTCTTACCCCTGTAGGTTCAAACCGTCTTCAAATTCCTACATCATGCTAGCTGAATTAATGTCAGTGTTTCAACTCAGTTCCCTGTTTGTGCCTGAAATAATGTACAGAGGGGCATCTGAGGTCTTCCTCCACCAATAAAGCTAGAAAGTCAACATATGACTTTTACAGTAATTGTATTAGTGCAACATAAAAACCCAACCAAAAAAAAAATATATGATATATTATACATGTATATTTCAATTACTATTGTTATAATTAGGTAACATACATTTATATTGATTACTTGAATATCATTTTCTTTATAAATTCTAATTATATTAACAATATTTGTCATTTCTAATTTTACCTTTATATTTAATTTTCCAAACAATGCATGTATGCATGTTCAGTTTGATTGTGTTGCAACTTGTGTGAAAACCAACTAAGGAATCAAATTGATAAAAAAAGTCAAAGAACATGTTTGATAAACAGTTTAGATCAGTCAACAATTTGAAGCCTATTTTAGCAATGTAGTGAAGCTTGTCTGACCTGGCAACCTTTAGTAATAATATTTCAATACTTCTTTTTGTTAGGCATAGAAAAAGGCTTTAGATTAACCCTTATTACGTTACTTGTTAGGCCTAAATAGAAAAGGCTATGGATTAAGCCTTAATTTCAATAAGTTTAGTATTGAACCTACATACATTCAGTATCTTCTATTAAATAATGTGTAGCGTAATAATTGTTGCATAACATTGCATGAAGACCATTTTTACCTTGCATGTGCATGTAGGACTTGATTGCTGATGTAACATATACTGATGAAGAGTGGGCTGACAAACAACATGAAATGAATGAAAGAGTTGAACCCCTCCCTACTGACCTCGATTTCTTAAGTTCAGGTTTGTACATTGTACTTGTCACCAAATGGACAGAAATAATATAAACTTGTCAAATGGCAAGCAGCATTATCATCGAATGTAACTTTCATAAATACAATAGGGTTATTATAGAAGTATCTTGATTTGTTACTTGTATTTGACTTGATTGAAGTTTACTAGGCTAGTAATCATGAGGGCTTGTAGTGTTACGCTGTTTGTGATCTGTTCCAAGTAAAAACCAATAGAGCTAGATACAAGTAATAGATCAAAATTCTCCTATAATAATTCATTTATTATATACTTTCAAATTAAAACTTCATAATCAACCATAATGTTATTGGTACATATATAATGCAGACTAAGTCTTTCTGGATCAAGCAAGTGTGATGCAGATTTTGGGTTTTGCTGTTTGGCCGTATTTGTGGATGTTATGCATGCATAAAATGTAAAAAATTCTAGGCAGATATATGATAAAAGTAAAATGTAAATAGGTGCTGTTTGTCTCTTAAGCTGAAATTAAATGGAATATTTGTTTGTTGGGTATCTTTATGAGGATAGTGTATTTTATTGGTGTTTTTGTCTCTTAAGTGCCTGTGTAACAGATTTTCAAGTGTTTGTATAGCATGTCTTTTGAAAATATTAGTTTAAAATGATATATTTTTTGAGGCTAGTGTATTCAGTTTGAATATTTATATGGTCATTGTTGAAGCATTATGGACAGATGTATTTCAAATGTCTACATCTTATATGCTTAAGATAACATTGATATCAGATACATTTGGGCAGTATGGGAACTAATCGAACTTGTTTGATGCATGGGCAAGACAAAATTATTAATTAAGTTTAATAGTCATTTACAGTTTTCTTTCGTTCTTCTGAAGCATGCTGAGTTGTGACTGTTTGAGGCGTGACTTACAGTAGATTAACTTACTAAATACTAACAAGTTAATTTGGTTAATTAGTTTTTCTGAAAAAAACATGAAACAATGTCTGTTGTTCATTTCTAGCAAATTATTATGCAAAAAGCTGCAGAAGACTTAAAGAAAGAAGCTTTAGCTAAGGCACAGGAAAAAGAGAAATTCATTATTGAAAGAGTTGGTCCTCTAAATACAGATGGTCTAGGAGAAGGTAACACTAGTGTGACTCCTGCATGGCTTGTCCTGGATATGTTTTCATTTATTTTTCTTTGTTTTGGAGTGTGGTGATCACTTGTATTTTAATAGTCTGTAGAAAGAATGAGTGCTTTCTTATGATAAATTTTATTTTGTTGTGATGCAGAGATTCTTGTTATGCAGATGTTCTTGTTATGCAGAAGTCCTTGTTATGCAGATAATTTTGTTATGCAGAAGTTCATGTTATCAGATATTGTAGTTATGCAGATGTTCGAGTTGGCCTAATGCAGAAAATCTTGTTATGCAGATACAGTCTAACTTGCCCATGCGACCACGTGTATTAAGCGACTTTTGTCTTAAACGACCACTTTAAATTCCCCCCGATCATTTTCTCTCTATATCTTTAATGTATTAAGCGACTTTTGCTCAACGCGACCAGTGACCGCTAATTAGTCACCTAATTGAGATAAATCTTTTCATTAAACGACCACTTTTACCTGTCAAGTAATTGTGTTTTTAGAGAACGCCACCTCGTAATGTCACAAGTGTCAACAATCAAAACACAACAAATAAACATGTGAAAAAACTCTATTTCCCAAACCGTTGTAGCGTATACAGATGAAGTTAAGTATACGCTTGACGTGTATTATCCAATAATATCAGAAAAACAATGCAAGGCTCCGCCCCTACTGAGATGGTGTATACGCTTCGCTTGTTGACATTTAGACTGCATTGAATTGACCTTTAACTTGATCAACAATTAAATTAATCGTAACAATTAGATGTAGTTTGTTTATTTCAAATGAAGAAAATGCACAACAGAAAACATCTTCACTAATAGGGGTTTCATGTTGGAATCAAGGAAAATCAACGGAGAAGTTAAAAAATTCTGGAAAAAAGTCAAACATGTACGTAATGGATCAAAACTGTTTTGTCAAAAAATATCAGAAAGTTAATTTTTACATTTGCATCCATTTAGATTATCGAAGCGTACTTATTATTCAACATGTATATAAAAACGAAGTTGAAAAACATTCCCACCGCATAAGAAAGATGTCATTTATAAATTTTGACTTTTATATCATGCTGACTGTCTTAAGAGACCGTTTCATTAAGCGACCGTTTTGGGTGTTTCCCTTGCGCGGTCGCTTAATACACGTTTGACTGTATTCTTGTTATGCAGAAATTCTTGTTATGCAAATATTCTTGTTATGCAGAAATTCTTGTTATGCAGAGATTCTTGTTATGCAGATAGTTCTTGTTATGCAGAAATTCTTGTTATGCAGATGTTCTAGTTATGCAGGAATTCATGTTATGCAGAACTTCTTGTCATCAGATATTCTTGTTTATGCAGATGTTCTTTTTATGCAGAAATTCTTATTATGCAGAAGTTCTTGTTATGCAGATGTTCAGGTTATGCAGATGTTCTTGTTATGCACAGGTTATACTCTTGTGGAACAGGTTGGATAGGATGTCAATGGTTTCAAGAAGTTTTGCTGTTGTTTTTTTTCTTGGTTGAACAATTAATGCACGGCTATAGTGAAATCACTTTGTACATCTAGTCTTATTAAGCTAAAAGCTGAATTTGCCTTGTTTTCTTTCCTTATTTGTGCACCATTTTACTTACTTGTACTTAAGTTTTATTATTTTTAAGCAAGTTTTATTATTTTTAAGCAATCTCCCTAACAGGTACACTATTTCACAATTTTTGTACACAATTTCACTTTTAATGCACAGTTTTACCTATTTGTACACAATTTCACTAATCTGTAAGCAATTTCATTCATCTTTACACATCTGTGCATTATTTTTTCATTTAGCATAACAAAATTGGCATTACCTAGAGGTCAAAGTTAGTGACTTTGAAAAAAAATTAATTTTGGTTTTGTATTATTGAATATTTTATCTGAGCTAAATACAAATATGTATTATTGAATATTTCATTGAGCTAAATACAAATGTGTATTATTGAATATTTCATTGAGCTAAATACAAATGTGTATTATTTAATATTTCATTCCAGCTAAATACAAAATGTGTATTATTTAATATTTCATTCGAGCTAAATACAAAATGTGTATTATTGAATATTTCACCTGAGATGATTAAAGATATGTATTATAATTATAATATGTCATCTGAGTTAAATACAAAATGTGTATTATTAAATTTTTCAGCTATGTGTATTATTGAATATTTCAGCTGAGCTAAGGAAACTAATCAAGGGTCTTCATGATAAACTTGCTCAAATCCATTCAGAGGCATATGATATAGAATTCAAATTGAACAAACAAGAAAAGGAACTAGTTGACCTGAACATGAAAATCTCCGATTCTAGAGGAAAATTGTATGTTTTTAATTTGTTTTATAACTGTTTTATTACTTATGAAATGAATAACTTTTGAAGTTTTGTGAAATATTTGTTTATTACCGGAGTTGTATAAATATTTGTCAATATTTTCAATGTATGTAATAAGCTTATAAGTGCAATAACATTACTTGTTTTTAAAATTTTGTGACATTCAAATAAGGGTTTTGTCATTTTATAATTGGTTTATTTAAATTGTTTATTTATAACATCATTAAACATGTGATATTTGTATTTTCAGTGCTAAACCTGTTTTACGTAAAGTTAATAAAACTGAACAGAAGTAAGTACATGTTACATAACATTTAATATGCAAACTTATTCTTACTTTCAAGATATAAAGATACATCTGTGGCTGGGTGATAGTCTTCCTCCACAAGTAAAGCTAGAAAGTTGCCGTTTTTGATGTGACTTCAAATCAAACCAAAAATATGAATATATAAATGAATAAAGATTCATGTTGTGTTTATCTTACCTGCTGTGCCAATTTGGTGAAAATAAATTTTAATCAGAATTAAGCCATCTTTAAATAATAAAAAGGACACAATATTATTGTTCTTATATTGGCATAAAGTTATGAGGAATGGAAAACAATAAGTCCCTTAGAACTTGTTTATGAATGGAACAAACCGTAAGTTTTACACTCTGTCCATCTGTCTGTCAGAAAATCGGATCCCTTGATAATATTAAAACCTGTGTAAGTGAAGTTGATGAAACAAACTACAGATTTTTGTTATACTATAAATTTACCATTTATACTTTTAACTTTATATATACTTAATACCCTTAAAAATGTGATACATTTTCAATTTTATTTGCAGGCAAGAATATTTTAGAAATAACATTTATGTAATATCTTTTATATATTGTTTTAGGTTTGCAAAAATGTCAAAGAAGGTGGAGCCTAAAGATGATTTTAGAGAAACTTTAAAGTCAGCCCATGATGATGATGTAAGTTAAATAAATAATAACTTAAATAATAACTTGAATAGATGATAACTTAAATAACAATTTAGTATTGGCCTGAGTAGGTTAAAACTTTGTCAGGGCAATCTGCTGTTTCCTTAAAGGAGAAACTTTACACTCATTACTTAATATTTATTAGTTCAAGGGACAGATTTGAAAGTGACGTGTTTATAAGCTTATAGCTTCATATACAATTAAACTGAAATAAATTCATTATAAACTAACAAATAAGTATACCAAGAAAGAAACAAAACTTTATGATTCATGATTAAAATCTAAAAAACCACTCATGAAACTATATTTAAAGTGTAATAAGTATCACTTAGACTGGAAGTAAATTATTAAGACTCTTACTAAATTATGTAATTTTCAAAAACGAAATAGTATTTTTATCATAGGTTGAATACCCTCAAATATGAATTTTTTAAGTCTCCAGATATAAATATATGACTATTTAACCTAGTTTCTATGATAATTGTTGTAAGTTAAAGCTTTACATGGGCTTTTATGTTATATTAGAGTAAAAATGTCTTTTTTGGTTCTTGCTTCTAAATAATATGTGGTTAGGTTTATTGCATAGTTGATATATAAAAAAGTTCTGCAATAATAGTTAAAAATGTAGTTTGCTAAATGTCATCTGATTGTCATAGATAGGCCGAGTATTGAACTGTTGAACTTTAGTAAATAGGGTGCTTTTGTTTTTCTACAACCTGATTATTCCTATACACTACAGATTTTACAATATCAATCAAACTTCGATTGACAGAAAAACAAAACAAAAAACAGTTTTCAATAGTGTCGTAATATTAATTGTATCAACATTTGATTAATGAATTTTGGCAAAAGTCGGTTTTTGAATCATTTAAAAACTGTAGAATTGTGGATAATCAGGTTTTTTTATGCGAGCGTTTATAGTTTATGCTAAATTGAACAACAATATATTGTATATCAGTGAGAAAAAGATTCCATTATTTGACAACATCATACATGTCATTATATCATGTGTTGTGTTAACCTTGTAAAAAAATCAGATCATCAGTCATGACGCAGGGATGCCAAAATAGAAATTGTGTAGTAGTAACACCAAATCTGTGTGATATATGGCTGTAACAAGCAATGTGTTAAGTAAACTGCCAAATGTATTTTATAGTATTCACAAATTCATTTCTTAAACTTGATTTACTGTAAAATATATTGGGCAGTTGCATTTTTCATTTTGGTCATATTTTGCACAGAATTCTGCCTTTCTGTTGCACAATTTATGTGTCAATTTCACGTTCATACGTTACAAATAAACATGGTTGTGCGTGTCTATGCGATCACATGCTGCTCCAACTAAAATTACTAACAGTTCCTTGCAATGAGACTTAATGATCTGAAGTCACATCTAATTGTGCTTTTACACCTTACGAGTAAAAGAATCAATTGTTTTTACAGGAATGGAGTAATTTCTGTATCTGCTGGCTCCCAAAAAAAACTAAAACTACTAAGTTAAACAGACTTTTGGGTTAAAAGTCGTGACTCTTTACACACCTAATAATGACACACACAACTATCTGGTCTGATGAGACTCTGCTCTATTAATTGGCTGAACAACTTCTAATGTTCATCATGATGTACCCAAATCCATAGTTATTCCAGTTAACACCATCCCGCAATAAAGACCACTTTGGTTAAGACTTATATAAGTCCAAAGTTGCTGGTCTTAATAGTGGGTTTTAACCAAATTTGTTTCCATTTCATATAAAGGAAATTTATGTATGTCTGTATAATAATAAACCTTCATGTAAGGAACAATGTTTAATAACATTCAGTTTTAAAAATTACATAATTTTAACTTAATTTTTCAAAATATAAAGATATAAGTTATTAAGGCTTTTATTTGTATTTAAAAAGTTGTCCACATTAGAAAATGTTTGTGTTCTTTAATATCTTCTATTTAAACTTTTAATTTTATGATCCTTGTATAAATAATTTTTGTGGGATAAATAATTTTTTCTGACATTCATCTTTCACATGATAAAAATTGCGTATTTTGTTGTCATATTGTGTGTACCATATTCATTTATTATTTTGATCTCATAGTCACATAGAATAGCATTGTAACCATAGCAACTGTTGTATTTCAGGAAGGTGCAGAATAGTAAATTTTCCATAGACCTCTGAGGGGTGACCTCAGGTAATGTTGCCAAGATATAAAGAAAATCTACAGTCAACTTACACTTTATCACTTTTTTCAACTTTTAGCACTTTTTAACCAAATATTTGTGTCGAGAATTAAGTTGCCATTTTAATTCTGATTCAAATTTTTTGAGTTATGTTTATTAAATTGTACCTTGTATTATAAGCAAGACAAAAAACCCACTGTTAAAAATCCAGCTTGACTTTTAAAGCCCACCTTGCCTTGGCATTGATGGGTCATTTGATTTTTTTGTAATTTCTTTTACTTGAAGATGTTTATTTGAAACTTCACACATCTTCAGGGTCTATTATGGTATGTCACTGACCAAAGACCAATGACTCCTGCATAACTCTTGTGCAATTTCCTGTGACAGCTTTTGTAATTTACACTGAAGGTATTCATTTGAAAGGCAACACATCTTCAGGGTCTATAATTGTATGTCACTGACCTAAGACCCATAAGTCTTGCATAGCTCCTGCACAACTATTATGATCTGAGAATAGTTGACAGGCAATTTCCTGTGACAACTTTTGTAATTATGTCTCTTTAAAGAAGTGTCTGTTGTTGTATTCAAATGGCTGATACAATTCAACATATTTTACTTAAATGTTGTTTTTTATACTGCCGTTTTTGAAAATGACAGCATTTCAGTATGGTAACAAAATTCTCTACACAAATATGCTTGCTAGCGCCTGTTGCACTGTTTATAGTTTATGTATTCTTTTGGAATTATATCAATATCCTTTAATCTGCCTTTGAAATGAAAAAATTTCATTTAGAATGTTGCAATGGTGTTTTAATTTATATACATCAAAAAGTCATGTACATTTGTTTGGCGATTATAAATTATATGCAATGGTAACTGTTGGCAGTGTTGTGGAAACATCATAATAAATTTGGTGTTTTTTAGGATTGAGGTAAAGAATATGAATATATAGGGGCCTTAAGATCACAAACTTCTGTGTGCTATCTATCTGAAAGTAACAAACCTGCGGCCCCTGTTCCAAATTAAAAACAGGTGAAGGGTGAAGTCATTTATAATGTTAATTGTCTAAATTCCAAAAGAATACATAATTATAATACTTCTAATAATAAATTTTAATCTTTTTTCTTTCAGTCTTTGTTCTAATATATTGCTATACTGTAGTTAATTGCCTGCTAGTAAAATTGACTATCATTATACTACATCTTTTGTTCCATTTTCTAATAAAACTGCATGATAAGCATAATAATAATTAACATAAGGGTGATCTAATATAGAATACTTATGAAATTAACGAGTGATTAGACATAATTATTCCCTGTGACAAAATATACTTTAGGGACCTTTTCATTAGACATGTACATTTTGATATCAACCTTATATCACATATCCATGCTGCTTTAGCGTCTTGGTAAAAATGGTATTGCAAGGCTATACATATATTTTGATGTAATGTTATTTGCTCTGTACAAACATAGGGTAATATGCAATAAATGTTAGCGCTTCAAAAAGAGCGCGTCACAAAAAAACACCTTTTTATTGTATGGTATGTGATAAAAAATATGTATATGTACCTGGTCCTTCAATACTAAATTTTTGAATTTGTTGAATTGAACAATGTTATACTCGCGACTGGCCCGCATGGTATGATTATTTTACAACTCATTTTTAAACACAATTTAATTTAATCACTTTAACAAGTTGAACACAACTGTGAAAAAAAACAACTCTTCTTAACAGTTATTAAATACGGGTTTCTCTTTTATAATAATGGAAGGGAGGCTGGTGCCATATTTGAAAATTCTATATAGTACTTTATATCACCATCATTTATATTCAAACTTAATGTACATCTGGTCATTTGAAAAACGTTAAGTGTGAGAATGGCAGCAACTTTTCTGCCCTTTCTGTCAATCTTTGGATAAGGACTGCAAACTTAATTGTAGGAATTCTCAGAACTGATATGGTATTTTGGTCTTGCGTACACTAAATAATTAACATGGAATCAAATAGTATGTAAATAAGCGAGTTTATTTCATTTCATCTAGTCCACTTAAGTAAACGTCTAAAGTATATTATTTATAAACAAACTTTATGTTTTTTGAAAACTGAAAGTACAATCTGTAATATATACTTGTTGAGGATATTTTGGATTTGGTTATAAGTGGTTGACATTGAGCATTCTTTTATTGAATCTTTTCAATCATATTTCTACCTAAATAGATTTTATTTTCTGTTGGATGTCAAATACTACATTTGTTACTCATTATACCAAGAATACACCCCTTGTTTTTGTTTACATCCATAGTCATGTTGTAGAACTTCTTTCAATCCATATTCTCAACTCCGAGATGTAATACATGTATTCAAGGTGTTCAGATTGCTTTACTGACTCCCGTTTCAGGTTTCTTCTCTTAGCTGTTTCAGAATAATAAATTTTTTATTAACCATTCTGCGAAATTTCATAACATATTTTTAATTCTTCTTTTTTCAGGCAAATTAAATCACCATTTCATTGGAGAGATGTAACGCCTGTGGATGTGATCATGTTATGCCAGTTGACCTTTGAACTCTTCTGATAACTGTCATGGAGTGAATATTTGCTGCTCTTTCATTGGCTGATACATAACCAAAACAAAAAATGGACAAAAATTCAATACTTGATTTTCCTTTTCTTTTTTAGTCAGTCTTTTTTTCAGACTGACGTTTGTGACTCTTATTTTCGTCAAGAGTTGAATTTTTTTCTATTTTTTTGGGAAAAATTTGAGAGACCTTGGTTCTATTTCGATACCAGCTTTATGTATTTCTAGCATAATTTAGAAATTGCATTTGTTCTTTTTCGTATCATTGATGAGTATTTGCTGTTAAAACTTTGTTTGTTAACTTGTGTTAAAGCATCGGATAAGAATTAGGATACACTAGTTAACTATCTCAAATATACTTATTAAAATGGCAGAACTTGTATCTGGGAAGACTTATTTTTTAAGCCTTCTCAGCTAGTGTATAAAAGGTGATATTATTTTGGTAACCTTCATGTACAAAAGATAAAAATTTCACCGATCTTCAGAATACTGACTTTTATAACAGTTTATGTGTGATGCTGTATGAAATTTGTATGTGTGCACATGCGTTTAAATTATTTGTTTTACCAACAAAAAGACTACTTGTTTATTACATAAACCTTTTTTCAACGTTTTTCTTGCCATGAATGTAAACATTTCTTGCCATTTTATTTTCTGTCTGAAAATTATTTTAGTTTGGTAATGAAGAATTTTTATAACTTTTGAGCGTCCCTAAAAATGACTATATGAATGTGATTAGACTAATGGATTACAGTATTATTTTATAGGAAATTTTGATTTGATTTACACATTAAGTTGAAGAACTTGTGTAAGTAAATGCTTGTTCTACGTGTCGGACTGAAAGAATTTATCAAAAAATGTAAACACAGTTGTTTTTTATAAACATGTATACATAACTGTTATTGACTTTTTTCTATGCTTTTTGTAAATGTGTAAAGAATTTATCAATATAATAACTACATGTAAACATGTAATACACTAGTCATATCTTATTGATATTATAACTTTATATATCTTTTATAAAAACACAAACTGTAGTCTAAAATATAGTTTCAGGCTGATATATCTTATTTCATTTGTATGATTGCGAAACTGGAGCGTGTAATTGTTTTATGCAGGTTTTTTAATATATATATAATAAATATGTATTCTCTAAGGCCTTTTTTTTGTGTCAATACGTATATGTTAGGTGAAGAAAAAAAAGATTTGACTTTTTTTTAGTGACGCTTTAAAAATCAAAGCGTAACTTTTGAAATATCTATAAATGCTTATATTGTATTAGAGTACACACATGTAATTACATATACATGAATACGGCAGCCATTTTTGTTTACTGTATGCATTGCTTTCAATAAAAAAAGGATTGCTTGGGCATTGTATGATTATGATATGAATGACGTATGTTTATATATGGAGCTTACTGTACTTTTTTATTGCGTTGTTTTATATTTAATTACTATTATTTACAAACTGCTTTCATTTAATTTGGAAAAAAAAAGAAGAGAGAATTTGTCTGTGGGGAGTGATTTAACGTAACTTCTGTGCCAAATTGTTCAAAGTACAAACCAAGAATCTATAGAAGCTTTGTAGGGCTATATGTTTACTTTCTCAAATTCATTATTTACAACATTGTTTTTAAAAATATATTAGCAATTTTATAGACATCATTTGACTCCATTTTTTAGTACAATTTGACCCTAGATAACAAAAGCTCTATTAACCAGTAGTTATTTTAACTAAACCTGTTTATAGCATAGATTTAGAAGAAGGGCCTCATTTACTTTCAGATATTCTATTTCCTAAAAGGTTAAAATCAGCATTTTGTTCACCTTTATTTTGCCCGCAAAAAGACACTCGACCGCTTTTGAATAACAAGACATCCAACTGCTTTTGAATAACAAAACATACAACCGTTTTTTGAATATTGCATCAGGTTAGTTAAATAATGTATAGTAAAAAAAGCAGTCGTTTATTTAAGATTGTTTCGGTTAAAATAGTTATATTTATTTCCAATTTTCTTCAGCTATACAGTAGTTTTATACAAAGTAGGTTCCGCTAAAGCCCTTTGTAATTGTATCTGGGTGTAAGAAATGGTGACAACTTTATACCCCTTTGTGTTAACTTTCCCCCCTGTAAATTGTTGTTAGGATAATGTTACGAGAGTTCCGACCCAGTTTACTATGTTCAGTGTATCAAATGATATCAAAAAATTATATAAAATAAACAACTCATTCCTCTCCATATATGTCTTTGTTATTATTTTTAAAGTCAAAATCCATGTAAGAGTTGTAGGTCTTGGATAGTGACCTATTATCCCAGTAGTTCTGGTGATACGAACTTGCATGCAAAAAACTTAGGAGAATACAATTTGTCACCTTGGTGCAGTAACAGATTAAATCCTATTGAATCATATAAGGAGTTAACTCATTATTGCACTAAAAGGATGAATAGCTCTCATTCTTTGAAAAGTCGAGCTAAAAAGTGGCATAATTTTATCTGATTATGCCCAAATTATATTGTCATCTTAATACAGTTAACAGGTTAACTCCTTGTATAATTATCCAGAAATAGGAGTTAACCGGTTACTGCACTAAGATGGTGATTAACACTTTTGGTTAACCGGTTACTGCACTAAGATGGTGATTAACACTTTTGCCAGCAAGTGAAGTGATCATTGTAAGAAAGTATTCTAGCGCTACTTCAATTAATTCAGTGAAAAATCGGTAGGAACACTAATCTTAAACAAGTTGATATATTTCTACACTGCAGTGAATGTCAAAGTTTATAGTAAAGATATTCAATATATATTACTAGTATATGTTTTTCTGGTTATATTGCATCAATACAGTATAGGTCATATGGTGACTTTCCAGCTTTATAATTGGTGGAGGAGACCTAGGGTGCCCTTCCCTGCAATATTTCAGGCACAAATGGGCCACCTGAGTAGGACCACCGATGTTCCTTGAGCAAGCTGGATAGCTTCTATTCAATAGGGCTATAATCATTGACCAAAGTCGAGGCTGCAATTACATTTCATCTCCTACTGAGTGGAATACAAGAATATTAATAACTCCGACAAAGTGAACAGCAAGAGAAGATCCTTTGAGAAAAGCCAGTGATCAAATTTTTAACCTAGGTACCTAAACTGACCTTGAAACAATCTGCTGACATTTAAAATCATGCTACAGATAATATGGCTCTTCTTTGACCCAAGTTTAAACACAGGTGGCTCATAAATTATGAAAATTGGTGCGTATGTTCTGTCTGCCACCTTTGCTAAATAGGGTGGGCATGATTTTTAATCCAGGGGTCACTGGTTCAATCCTCAGATGAGGTGAAATTTCCATATGCCAATCTCGGACATTAAGTCTAATGGTCATTTATCTCTCACTGCTGATACAGAAGTCATGTGGGATAAGTAGTCAGTGACTTGCAAAGAAATAGGTTACCGGTACTGGCGAATTATCCAGGAAAGTCTGTTCGGTGGACCAACCCGAACCGGCGTGATAATTTTTACAGAGTTTCATTAAAATCTTTTCTGTAAAATTCCATAATGCTGTTAAGGTGGAGAAGATGTTAAACAAAATGGAAATGACCAACAACAGATACATTGCCAACACAAAAGGTTTGTACTCAAATGAGCTAAAAATGCTAATTCGCTTTATCAGGGGCCATGAACGGCTGATCTCCAATTAATTTGTCTCAACATACCCAGGTTTACATGCTGACAACTATTCAAACAAAGTTTCATGGCTCTACCAGTTAGACTTCCATAGAAACATGCAGCACAAACAAGGTCTTCTGCAGGGGAAATCTATATGCTCTCTGTCTAAATTGGTTGGGGTATAAAAATTTAGAAAACCAAAACTACACAGTGTCTAACAAATGAAAAAGATGTATATTATTATAAACATGTTTGATGCATATGAAATTTTATCACTAGAACCTGCTCACACACAAAAAAACATTCCACAGTTACTTTCTGAATTCAAACAAATAATTTAAATTTCTAGTCCTTAATTTTTTTTTAGCAAACTTCATTAAAGATCTGGCTGAACTAATTTTAATATATTTATAAGTTCTTTCCTTAGTAATACAGTTCTTTTATTCAGAATATCTTCACTTCCGTCACCTTGAATATATAATCCATAGTTGCCATTATATTCTGTGTCTGAAATACAAAATAAACATTAATTATTCTTGCAGGTGTGCATTAACAAATTAGAAAATATGCATTAACTGATAAAGTCATGTGAGCACAAACTGTTGTTGCATGTTTATTGATACGTGCCATGTAAAAATACCTGACTGCAATAACAGCTCCAGTAATTTCATAATGAAAACAGAGCTGTCACAACAGCACTGGTATGTGAAAAGCATGACAAAAATAGTTTCTTTGCACCAAAACAAAGAAATGTGAAATTACTGATTTTAACACAATCTACATTTTTCCCCATTGAACATAGAAGAACCGAACGTTTGTGTTATTATGCAATAAAATCACTGTTGACATTCTATATTTAGATGTGACCTAATCATTATACCTGTGACGTAACCATTAAAAATGCTACGCGCTGAAAATAAGTTTGGAAACAAATCAGGCGCAATTTAGCTTAATATCAGGTATGGCAGCATTTTTTTTTGTTGATGTCGTGTTAGAATCAAAATAATATATCCACATCGGTGTTTTTATCGCTTGATATAATTCCTCAAAGCCGAACTCCAAACTGATTTTATAAAGCAATAAAATCACAGTTTCAGATATATTATTTTTTAAATCAGACATTTACTTTTATGCAAAAGCCCTAATACATTTTTTAATGTCATAACAATTGCCTTATCTATTAAAGGTTTTACAGCTGTGTACTTGTCCAACAGAATTGTGTATAATTGTATTCAACAAAGAACAGACATATAGATAACAATATAATCTAGAAATGGTAGATAGATCAAAGAAAACTGCTCAGTCAATTCTTTCCTACAATGAACATGTAGCATAACGAAACTGAATCATCAAAAATTTTTGATGTTTTTAAAAGATTGTAACAGATGTACAAGGCTGGACAGATCGCACCAATCTATATCTATCATTGTGGTGAAGGGCTATACTTGAAAAACAAACCTTCTTTTTTGATTTTATTCTGTTCATCAATTTCTTTTATAGCAGATTTTGGTATATCAATAAGTGAGAGATAGTCCATTGTTGATTTCACATCAAAAGAGTTAGTATTTTCTCCAAATATGGCAAATCTGGGTATACTACGAGCTTTAAAATACCCTGCGCATGTTTTTTCCTGTAAGTTCAATGAATATGTAAAAATTAATTCAATGCTTGGTACAACTAGGATGGGAACTAATATGATGACTATATAACAGTATCTATATTTATTGACCTATATCACTGTATTTAAAATATATCTATATTATTGTATCTGTATTTATTAATCTATATATGAGCCGCGCCATGACAAAACCAACATATTGCTTTTGCGACCAGCATCCACGCAGTCTGATCAGGATCAATGCTGTTTGCTATCAGTTTCTCTACTTCTAATAGGGGTTGTAGGCAAACAGCATGGATCCTGATCAGACTGCACAGGCTGGTCTGGATCCATGCTGGTCGCAAAAGCAATATGTTGATTTTGTCATGGCGCGGCTCATTTATTAATCTACATTACTGTTTCTATATATAACTATATCTATATAAGTGTTAAATATATATATAAGACTGTTTCTATATAACTATATCTTTGATATGATTGTTTCTATATCACAGTATCTATATCTATTAATCTATATTACTGTATCTATATAACTATATCTACAGGACTGTATCTAATCATAGTACATGTATCTATAATCATTGATCTATATTACTGTTTCTATATAACTACAATTTTACAACTGTATCTTTAATACTATATATATAAGACCGTATCTATATAACTGTATCTTCTGCTATATGACTGTTTCTATATAACTGTATCTATATTTATATTTAATCTATTTAACTGTGTCTATATAACAATATCTGTAAGTATTAATCTATGTACATGTAACTACATGTCTATCTATATGAGTTATGACTGAACATGTATTAAATGTATATTTAACAATCTATATTTACTGTATCTATATAACTACTTCAATATCACTTTATCTATATGACTGTATCTCTATTAATGTGTCTTTATTACAGAAAATCACAATTTTGATTTTACTTTGAGTCGATGAGTAAAATTATTAATGTATTTTATGCATTCATTCTGATCACTATTTCTTTTTTGTTTTGTAGTTAAAAGATATTGTTCATTCTTACTTACAAAAGGTATACACTTACAAAAGCTTAAATGTTACTTACATCTTTGAATGAAAGAATGGAAACAGTTCTAGAATATGTCGACACATTCAGTGTATCCCAGTGAGACTTCTTGGTAAATTTCTTACAGACCCCAACAATGGACTTGAGCAACCCTTGTAGTATAAACCTGTTATCAAACACTGATGTGTACCTCTTGTGTACCCATAATGGTAGCATTGATCTATAAATAACAAAAAAAAAACATTAAAAGAACTCAACTGAGGTCTAATAGCCTGAAATTATAAAATAATTTGAAATTCTTTCATCAATAAACTGGGGCTGTTTAAAAATGGAAAACTATGCAAAAGATAACATGTAAATGTATTTGGTACAAACTTGATAAACAATTTTGTTATGCAGTTTTTAGGACAATATGAGTGAAAAGAGTGGTAACGTTTTTCACTCTGGGGTCAATTTGCATAATAAAATTATGAAAAAACGATCAAGGTTAATCAATTTACTTATAACCTCTATATCAATCTAAATGCACAAGTAAAATAAGGAAATAACCTCCTAAAGGAAAGGGTATCTTGTCTTTTTAATTGTGCCTTACTAAATATGTTAAAGTGTATGTGGCTGAGTGGTTAAGGTTGTTGACTTCATACCACTTGCCCTTGACTGCTGTGGGTTATTAACTTATTTGTTTCTAAAATAATGCAAAGAGGGACACATGAGGTATTTTCCATTAGTAAAGCTGGAAAATCACCATATGACCTTGTGATGGTGCAAAAGAGCTGCAATGTAAAACCCTACTAACCGAAAAAATGTTAATCTAAAACTTATTTCAGAAATTTATTTTTAAAAATGAATTGATTTTACAAGTATACTTACTTTGTTGGCTCTAACCCAGTTGGGTTAATCATCACTAGTGACTTAAACATCGATGTATGAAACACACATAAACTGACACCAGTGTACACACTACATCCATTTGTAATGAGCATATCTACTCTGAAATATATCATCACATAAGTCTTCTATACATATGTTTACATTATGAATGAGAAATCTGTCATTACTGATTGTTACTTCCAAAGTAAACAGACACAAGACTGAATAAAACAAGGAATTGACCAAATTCATTAATGGTATATTGTTCTGCTCACTTAATCACATGATACAAAAAAAAACAGAAATAAAATACAATATTTCAACAAGACGATGAAATTGTTATTGTAACTGATTAACATTTTAAATCTAAAATAAAGGAAAATATCATTTACTTTTCTATTCCTAATTCTCTGAGAAAATCTTTGACAAAATCTGCCTTCTCCTGGACACTTAACTGACAAACTGCTTCATCTTCTTGTTTCTTTCCACGACAATATTTTGTCACTGAAAAACATTGAAGAAGGTCATTTTTTTTTTAAATTCAATAAAAATCCATTTTTCTTTAATTTTTGTACATACAGATTTTACAAATTAGCTCTTGACGTGTACAATTCTGTTCAGGTTAAAGTGTATCTTGTTTACAGTCTATACAAAGTTAGTTAGTTACAAACAAGTCAGATGAAATAAACATGAAATGAAAAGATCAGTCTATTTAGGCACATCAACTATTATCATATGTACTTATCACTGTAACTGAAGTGGCTGACAACTGTAATAAGTTTTTTTGTATGTGGTAAGATATACATGTTGTATATTAGTTTAAAAACATACAAAAGTCACAAGGGACAATAAAAATTATCTTTCCAATTGGTGTTGCATTAAATGATAAAAATAAAACAACATTGTATTTATGCTGCATCTAAAACTTACCTGGAAGATTTGGAATTACAACCCTGTATCCTAACTTGGCAAATGTCATAAGAGTCTCCGTTAATTCCATATGTGTTCCGACACTGCTTGGTAAGGCAACAATGACCGGATTTCTATTACTATTAGAAGATTTTGTCGTTTTATTTAGCTTTGTATCAACATATCCAACATCAAAGTTTATTCCTTCAGGATATTCTTCCCAAAATGAAACATTAGTTCTGATAAACATAAACCGTAGAGGAAACAGATCCTCTAGTTCAGTCTTCTGACTACAGCAAGCACTTGTAAAGAAAGTTCGCTTCCCAGTTACTACTTTTTTACAATGTATTGAATTAAAAACGTTTAATAAACTGTTCATTGATAATTTGGATCCAATGGCAGAAACATGTCTGACGCGCACTTGTTTGCATCCTGCTCGTCGAGAAGATTTTAAACAAGTGACTGTCCGAATGCCAGCTGTCCGAATTAATGGACATTTTACATAGAATGAAAACATGTGTTTAACAAGATTTGAACCAATGACGTCTGGAAAATATTTCATTTTTATCATTTAGTTTTTAGAATTAAGTGTTATTTCAACGCATTATCAAAGAAGCACTAAAATTGAACCCGTAAAACGCCGCAGTTGTCTTTGACATGGGCGCAGCCATCTTTGATGCGATGTATAAAAATATCCAGTTGTGAAAGTAGCTTTTAAATCAAAGTGCTGATAGTGCTGATGCCTAAAACAAGTATGCTTTGTGGTTTAGTAAACATAATCAATACTTGAATAAAAATAATTTTTAAAATATGTATTTAAGTCGTGACATAATCAAAATAAGTGATAATGTATTAGGTGATTATGTGGGTTCTATAAACAGCATCTTCTTATAATATGGATATATTTCATGTCCCATAAATTTCCAATATAAATCGTTCTTTATAAAGTTGATATCTTTCTTCAAATAAACATATAATACTAATAATTGAAAACAATAATTCAACATAACCTAATATATTTTACTTTCCTTTTTTATTTGAAACGAAAAAAAAGTGTTCCCGTAACAACTTTGAATCAATAACAATCTATTTGAAAGATCCTGCTATATAACTGATCGAGTCAAATTCTATTTGAAAAACTCTGCCGTAACTGAATAGCGTGAATGTAAATATTTTTCCTCACAAAACTAAGTCTTACAATTTCATTGATAAATTAATATTTAAGACATTATAATGCTTGTTGAAAACTAGAAAATGCCTTGTGCGGTTAACTCCCAGTAATGGGCTTAAATATTTATACTTATGGGCATACTCCTGCTATGTGATCATATTCTTGTATATCAGACAGGTTCATTTACTGTTAACACCTGTGCTAGAAAAACCTTTCTTGCATATCAGTCAGGACTTTCTTGCATTATTGTTTCAGTGCTAAAAAACCCTGTTTTAACGTTAATTACCCCCCCCCCTCAGTGTCGAAGATAAGTCGCGTTTCCTAAATGCGCTTTTTATGAATGAATTGCCTTCTTTAGAATGTTGTCATTTTGCCGTTACGAATGAAGTTGTTTTTTTCATATGCTAAGTTAAGAAAAAAATGCTCCGTGGAAAAACTAGTATTCGTTATTCATTTCGGAAATGCGATCAATATTAAATATGCAAGGAGAATCAAGCACCGACTTTCGTCACAGACGGGAATATAAGCTCTTGGGTAACAGTGTCGGTAGCTATAAGATCCTTAAAGTCTGCGCTATGCTTTTCACTAGTAATCAGTCGGTACTTACTTTGAAAAACGAGTGGTTTTGATCAGATTGAAAGATGGCCAAATTCCTATAATTTAAATTATTTAACGTGGTAAGCTTAGAAAATCTGTTTTCTCTGTAATGTTTGTTTGTTTAGTCACACCGACACATTATAGGTCATACGGCGGAGGAAGACCTCAGGTGCCCTTCCGTGCATTATTTCAGGCACGAACGGGAACCTGAGTAGAACCACCGACGTTCCGTAAGCTAGCTGGATAGCTTAATTCCTCACATGAAAGAATCCAAAGTCCTTGTCGGGATTCGAACCCACAGCGGTGAGGGGAAAGTTGTTTGAAGTCAACGACCTTTACCACTCGGCCACGGCCGTCCATTTTCTGTAATGAAACATTATTGACCTAAAGCAGATATATACAGAAAGACAGTCATTTAGATACCAAAATGATTTGTTTTCGATCATAGCCGGTGGGTTTAGCTTACTGTTTCAAACTTTTGGTGTTTAAATTTGTATATCTACTGTTTACCATATTATTATAGGTAGTGCTGTGTTTCGCATGGTAGTTGTCATTTGTAAGTGGGTCTACTTTTTGACAAGTAAATTGTTCAAGAATTTAGGGGGAGGGGGGAGGCAGGAAAAAATGAACAGACGAACAGATCAAATTTAATTTATACAATATTTCATTAGCGTGCACCACTTTTACAAACATATCATTGACCTAAACACAACAAACATGGTGCTTGTTCAGTATACATATAATATACATATAATATTTTCATTTATATGCCTCATTTTTTATAACTTCATTTAAATCAGTGTCTTTCAAACAGAATTGAAATACTTGTTTAAATTGCACATTTGCAAGAATCTGAGCGTCTGTCAAATAACAGTTAAAAGAGATCTTTAAATATTAACAGGCATTTAGATCTAATAGAAATTGGCCATGGTTATTCTAAATATGCATAATCACCCCAGAAACACAAAATGGCGTTTAGAGAAAATCATATATCGCGCAAGATCAATTATCGTTATCGTACATGTAACTAGATAACTCGCTTCTGGAGTGACGTTTATCTACGTGCACACCTCGTGCGACGTCGCATGTCGTTCATCTCACGCTCACCGTTTAATCTATTACGGTCATAGTATCTACGAAAACTAGTTGTCACTTTAGCATCACTCTTTGACGACCTTCTGTCTTTACCAGAACAATCCCGATTTTTCTTTGGCGTAAGCACTGGCGATCTAGAATATTTACTGAGTTTGTTTCTATCACGGGAGCGTTTACGTCTTTCACGGCGCCTATGTTCAGATTCCTTTATTTCCTCCCTTCTTATTTTGTTATAGGTATTCGAGTACTCGTTCCTTTTGTATTTTTCTACTGAACGCCGATTCTTATATGGGGATTTCGAGTGACGGGAATGCTTTGATAAATGACGTCGATTTACGTCCGCCGATGATGACTTTGATCGTCTATGACCCGGTTTACGTGACCTGAACCTCTCGCACGAGCTTTCTCGGTATCGTTTAGAACGAGATTTTATCTCATAGTACCTAGATGTTCTAGAAGAACGTGAACCATGTCTAAATTCTGATGGACTTTCATATATGATAGCTGTTTTTGTACTGAAACCATTGTTCCCACCATAAAATAAGTCCATGACGTCATCTTCGTGCTGCTCAACGTTGCTGTCATGATCGTTTACACCATAAAATACTTCAGAGCTTGGACTCTCTGGATAATTTTCTGAATTATATTGTCCTACAGAATTTACGTGAACAAGGGGGCCATTGAACGGATCTTCGTTGTCTGTTTGAATTTGACACTCATGATGACGTTCCAGGCGTAATTCTCGCTGATCACGTGCACACGTGTTTTCCTCATATACGTTATACTGGTAACCATGGGTTGCACTATATCCGCCATGCACTGCTTGTCCAGGCAAATCTGAAAATCGGTTTAAGTCCAAAGCATTTTCATTAACTTCTTTCACTTCCTCCATATCATGATGATCTTGCTTTATACTAGCTTTAGTATCAGCTTGAATTCTCGGGTCTTTGTTATGCTTTGTAAAATACTGTGCCGAAAAACCTCTTGTAAACGGTGAATCCTGATGTCCGACTGGACTAACAAAGCAAGAAAACGCCGGGGATGACACGAGTGGACTTACATTGTAATAAGGGCTTTCAGTAGTACATAGTTTGTAGGGTGAATTTACGACATGCCTTTGACAATCCACTTTTCCGACTTCCGAATGTGGGTTTGATGAACAAGGACTTGAGGTATCACAAATAACATTTCTAGGGCTACAGTAATATTGTCCCCTACTGTTCGTGTAAACATCGTTTGGAAGATCAGTTAATCTGTGAAGTTTATCAGAGTACAAACCAGTACTTATTGTATGCACGTTGTGTTTATCGGGTGTCTTTTTAAAGTATGCCATTGGCCTTTGTTTTATTGGCGTAGAACTGTGTACATATGGTATAAATCCGATATTACCTGTCGGATTTACACATAAGTTTTTATGATACTCTGACTGGGCGTTCTTATATAATTCACTGGCTAAGTCATTTAAGTTATAATTATTATAATTTACATGACTTAATTGTCCATGTTGTTTGTCCTTTTCTTGGCCGCTTTCACCGCAGTAACCGTTATTTCTTTCACCGTTAAAGTAAAAGTCACCGCCGCCATTAGTGTCTGCTTTGCCACAATATGATCTGAGCAACGAATACTATTTTGTATTTCTTGATGTTTATTTTGAATTCCGCAATTTCCAGCTCTATTTCTAATGTTTTTGCTAACATAAATATACTTCGGATCGAACAAAAAACTGTACTTTAACTTCAAATCAGAGATGTCAACATCTGGAATATTTTTAAGGACGGTCTCCACATTAAGTGACAAGTTCTCGTGAGCGAGATCTGCTAGCATTACTACACAAATCACGCGCAATAATATGACCTTCACCTTTTAAATCGTTGTCCTCATCTCCGATGTATTTATGACTGGCCCAAATTTGTTTTGTAGCAAGACTCGAGTATATGGCAGCATCTTTCTTCCACACCCTTTTCTCATTTCCGTATTGTACCGCCAGTTTGTAAAACGGGAAATTATTGATATCAATATGTTTATTAAGCCATGTGCACATAAACCTTGGTTTAATAACTTCAGGAGGATTCTCTACGCTATTGCCAGTATGAGAATTGTGATCTAGCATGCCATGGTATTAACGTTTAAATTTCAGATGGCTGCATTAGTGTCAACGTCTCAGCATTTGCCATCGCTAATCCTCCGATTTAGGATTAGATCAACTGAGTCATCAATGTCTGCGGTATTCCTTTTCTCGTTACCATTATAACTAGTTGAGGCATTGGCTTTTCCAAACTGATGACTAATAACAGTCGGCGAATCTTTAGTTAAATGAAATTTTCCGTTTTGAACATTTAAAGAATCGCCATTACCTGTCACGTGAACGGTGTTCAAGTTGTGATGTACTCGGCAATTTTCATCAATGCATTGGTGTAAGGAAAGCCAGTCTTTATTAAAGCGCTTATTTCTCATCACTTCAAGCATTCTGTTTGATACTTTGTTTTATATGTACTAAGATATTCTCCGGTTTATTGGATTTCAGATCGTCATAACTGCATTGTGTCTAAGGGAAAAAAAATACAATATGGTTAATATAAAGATCATTAAAGAAGGCATACACAATAACGGACATGGGTCTTAAATGAAACACATCACCATGATGTGTTTGATTTTTGTTCCAAGTAATTTTAAAATCCTTCCATGCGTGACAAAGCTACAGTTTGGACACAAATGTGTACCTCCAACCTCTAAGTGTGACCTTGACCTTTTAGGTAGTGATATGGGCCTTTGCCGCGACACATTTTTGGATGTGGTAGACACTTGTGCCAAGTTATTTAAAATTCCTTCAATTATTAAGTCTGGACAGGAATTTGTACATCCGTCAAGTTATAAGTGTGACCTTGACCTTTGAGGTAGCGACATGGGCCTTGGACCCGACACGTCGTATTGATGTAGAAGTCATTTATGACTAAATATTTTAAAATCCTTTAATGCATGAGGAAGTTACAGTCCGGAAACGAATGTGTGTACCTAAAAACTGTAATTGTGATAAAGTGAAACTTCAAAATGTTAGTGTGACCTTGACCTTAAAGGTAGGGATTTGATTCTTGTACATATAAAATTCAAGTTTTTTCCTATATAAACAGGATATATTTTTTTTTATCTTTTGGTAAGAAAATTATCATATTTCACTCGGTAGCCAATCATGAAATATCTAGTTTCACACCGCCCGATGAAAATAAATCCTGTATTTAAATATCCTCTATTTAAATTATGTTAGATAATTAGCAAGAGAATTTGTTCATAACAGTCAAAGAAGGGAAGAAAAAAGTTCATTAACCTTTATTATTATTCATTTCATGATGCACAGTTATAGCATTGCCAAAGCTTATGATAAAAAATCTTTTGTACTTGATCACATAGAATCTCTTCATAAATAGCTTTAAATCATTTTTCTGCACATGATACATTCAAACAGATTTATTTGCTTGACACTTCATCAAATTCTTTCATAAAATGGTGGTAGTTTATAGATGTGCAATATCATATATCTAGGGGTGTCAGTTGTCTGGCTGAAATGGCACTGTCATATCTAAGAAATATCTCAATGACTAATAAAAAAGGGAAAATTGAAACTTGAGCTTCCGTCGGCGCGCCTAGCACTGGCTTTATCAAAACTTGATTATGGGGAAATTTTGAAATTAGAAACAACCGCAGATGTAGGCCTATTCAAATGAAAGCTTCAATGAGACATGTTCATGTTATTTAGGAATGCGATGTATGCCCCCAAGTAAAAGAATCGGTGTATCCTAAATAAGAAAACAGATGCAAAAAAATAGCAAAATGTTCAATGATTATTCTTTCATTTCTGCTTCTACGAACACTGGCATCCACCGATCCCCATACAAGAACATAAAATGAATAATTGAAATGTAATGCTTTACAAATGTATTCTGATAAACAAAATTCTCCCTTTTGTTAAAATTGATGTTAAAATAGAAGTCTTTACCTCTATGTAACTTCATGGTGTAAATAAACACTTGAACCAGGAAGTACACCCAGCCATCTTGCATCTGTGACGTATTATGATATGACGTCATGAGAGAAGACCTATGTCATTTTCCCGCAATTAAAACAGTTCGCAAAATGGAAATATGTATTGGCACCTTAAGAATATGACTTCAAAAATTAATCTGAATATCATTGAAACATGTATATTTTCACTAGTGTAGTAATTGTTACCAAGTGTGTTTGGAATGGCGAGAACTACAATGTTTTTAAAAGTATAGTACCTGTCAGAGTATATAATTGTATAATCAATGTGAAATGGTGTTGATGCTATTAATTCCTTTAACGAACTGAAATTTGAATTCTACGTCATTTATTTATGCACGTAAATATCTAGTACATGGTAATCTAGATAACTTAAATGTAACGGCAATAACGCTCATTTAAATATGAGCCGCGTCACGACAAAACCAACATAGTGCGTTTGCGACCAGCATGGATCCAGACCAGCCTGCGCATCTGCGCAGTCTGATCAGGATCCATGCTAGCATGTTTGCTATCAGTTTCTCTACTTAGTATAGGGTTTGTAAGCGAACAGCATGTATCCTGATCAGACTGCGCGGATGCGCAGGCTGGTCTGGATCCATGCTGGTCGCAAACGCACTATGTTGGTTTTGTCGTGACGCGGCTCATATATATTTCTATCTGCTTTATGTGCACAAACAACACCAAATCGGATATGATAATGGTCTTGACAAGCGTTGTTAGACATGCACTGAAAATGTTACATGAAAAGCTAAGGTGCCACTTCTTACTTAAGCCTTCACATATTTGCTGTAAACTAGCTTATCAACTGAATAAATTTGGTGGGACTGATAGTGGTGTTATTGATATACGTCTATTTATAGTCGCAAATAGAAACCAGTACGGGCGGCTCACTCCGGAAGACTGTTAGAAACAGCTTAGCGCAACATATATAGAAAATACTCAATTTCAGGATTGCCATGGCTTTTTTAAGGTGCAAGATGAAAAAAGAACAATGTCTTAAGACCTCGTTTTTGAAGACTGACCCGAAAGACACGTTAGTATTCCTAGCTGGAGAAGCAGAGGATCGGACTCTTGACCTCCGGATCTAAAGTCCTACAACGTTAACATTAGACCACTGCGCATGCTCTGTGATGTGAAATCAAATACGAGAAAATACAAAACATAAAACGTAAATAAATTTGTAATGAGAAAATCAAACATAAACTTTATTTTGTAATTTCAGATAAATACATATAAAATACAACTTAAAAATAAATCCATTTTATGGATATAGGGATAAAACTCTTAAAATCTATCATCTATGTAGAACGTATGGCAATAAATTTTGCAATAAATTTAAAACTTAAAATATCCTGATATATGGAATCTTAAAACATAACGTCTTAAATAACGAAAATAACACATGTAAAATAGGCATTGCACCGAGACGGTAAAGGCAAAAGCTATACAAATATATTATGGTATCATCACCAGTTTTAAAATTTGTGAATTACAATGTATGTAACCTTGGAAACAGGTCAACTGGTACTTAACATAACCATGGTAACAACATTGCACAAAACAGAAAAACAATTACGAGTTATTACCTCCCATGACAGCCATTTTGGGGTCATTTGCTAAAAATTCTCATTATTCTAACATCTTCATAAAAAATGATAAAAATCGTTCACATTTGGATGCTGAAATAATACTTTGCTGCATCTGTATAAAATATTTTGACAATTCACCTAAAGCATCTGTTTAATTGATTTTTAATTATAAATTGACCCCCAAAATGTCTGCCACTTTTGGCAAGGGAGGTAAATATTGTAAAAATCGGGAACTATTTCTATGATTAATGAAGGATTACAAGATCATTTAGTGTTGGAAATTGAGAAAAGTAAATATATATGTACACTGATATGTATAAAAATTCGATGTTCATGAACACATCTGTAACTATTAACGTCATTGTAATAGCTGACGCCATATCATCACAGCGTAAGTGTAATAACCGACGTTTAAGTGTAATAACTGACGTCATAATATCATAACATAAGTGTACTGTTATAACTGACGCCATATTATCACAGTGTAAGTGTAATAACTGAGTCATATTATCACAGCTTAAGTGAAAAACGGACGCCATATTATCACAGCGTAAGTGTTATAACTGACGCCATATCATCACAACGTTAGTGTAATGGCTGACGTCATATTATCCCAGTTTAAGAATAATCATGAATGGGAGGAAAATATTGCTATTTCCTTTATCACAACCCATTCTAATTGGGCCGAGGTGAACCTTATTTGTAGACAACGTATTGTTACCAAACCTAACTTAGATCGTATAGTTTGACTATCAATGCTAAGTGTTCCATTTTGAAACTGTCCGAGTGTGATTAAGCCCTCACAATCCAGTTTGTCACCATTATTTGATGTGCTAACACCAGCTTCCAGAATACCATTATGTATAATATCTTTCGGATGGCTGTTTGAACCGGATACTATCACTATTTTGTCGATCATTTGAGCCGACTCAAAAAATAATGAAAAAGTATCGTTTTCTTTTGGTGATCCGTTGCTCCAGAAGTGGCCTGGTTCACTTGAATACGCTAAACTTGGTGGGAATTCATCATTTACAATGAGAGTGGTAAACAATTTTGCTGTCGGATTATCTCCGTTTAATTCCTTTTCCGGAAAATCAAAATATTTGTCCACTAAAGGTTGAATTTTATCGACGAGACTAGAATGAAATCCCATGTGTTGGAAAAGAGTAGGTTTTCGTATTCTTTTAGCTCCATTTCCCATAAGCATGTTAAAATAAATGTAAGTATAATCCACAGGTTGTGTTTGACTAAACAGTAATAACATATCGGATAATTTTCCTATATGTTTAGAATGGTAAAGTTTACCAATAAATCCAAGTTCTGAAAATTCTAAACAAATCCAATTATCATTGTCTTGAAGTCGGATAAAATTTAGAATGGCGGTAAAATAACCGTCTGAGGCTCTCACATCGTCCTCCATTTGCATATAATATTCGGATAAGTTTTGACAATACCGCATTAGGAAGGCGTAATCATAGTTTTGTTTAGTTCTCCAATTCATGTAGGAATCGTTCCCGTATTGCTTCATTCCGTTGTAAAACTCTAATGGCGCCTGGATGACATGAAGTGACCCGGATGTTATGTATTTTTCATAACTCTGTCGTAGGTTAGCCTCAGTTTCGGATTTCCACTCAGTGTTGTTCATATCAGCAAGAAATACTACGAAAACTATATCTTTCATTTCGTCTTCAGAGGTTTTATTCAACATACTGTTAAACATTTCGTAAAAATAATTGCCGTCCCGTCGCTTTACAGTTGGAATTCCTATAGTGAGACGACCTAAAACAGATGTTAATATTGATTAAAGCCATATAAAGTCTCACAAATGAATGTATTTTTCTTCATTAGCAAGGGCTAATATGTTTTGATTATTGGTTTAGAGCATTTTAGATGATTATCACCTGAAGAAAGTAGCACTGAATGTGAAATATTTTGTCAATTTAGTAGCAAAATGACAACTTGGTTGTATATTAAGTTAATTTAAGTCAGTAAGTTAAAGGGTTTTGAGAAATACAAATGTTAGTAAGTAAAAAAGTTTTGAGAAATAAAAATGTTATCATTTTGAGGCTAAAGGTGTTTTAAGTTTAGTGCAAGTTTGTATAAATCTAAGTCATAAGTCTGTATTGTTCCATTTGAAAACCGAAGCACAATATGTCTAGGATTCGGTAGATTTTATCATTCTTTATACAGTCCAGTTCAGTTTGATATTTTTGTCCTAAAATGTTTGATAATATAAATCTTTTGGAAAGTATCTTTGGGAAAGTGACTTATACGTCCTATATATGAAAATTGCATTCATGACCGATGATACTCCGCTGTCGGACGCTACCCACCTATCTCCTCTTTTATACATGTATGGTGATGAATTCAAAAAGTTAAAGTTATTTAATTTAATTGAATTGAATTACATGGTAACGAAAGAGCACGTACCATTGCGATGGCATTAATTTACTGACATTAATTTGCTGATACGGAAAGAAATTAGACTTTATCACAAGTATAGAGACATTCTCTGTTGACATTCTTCTGTGTTTATCCCTAAAATTTTGAATGGACTGCTCTAAATTCAAAGCAGGGCGAATCCATTATAGAAATTCAAGAGGTTAAAGGTTAACATGTAAAAAACTTACGTCTTTTAACTGGTACAGCTGGTGCAGACAGCCTGCTTTGTTCATCATTTATTTTCTGCGGTATTATAAAGTCTGAAATCTGAAAAATATAAACGCATGTTTTACTGAATAAAATGCGATAGCAATATCCAAATGTAAAATAAAATGCCCATTATGGCTCAGAAATGCATTTTAGTGTGTCCTGTGTTACGGTTTTCAAAAATGCCACTCATGGCCAGTTTACTTTTACATCTATTGATTCTGTTGCCTTTTGGTAATAAGAACAAATATGGTGATTTGCATGTTGTGAAAACTATTTTGTTTTTACACTGTGCTACTAAATAACATTTAGAGCTACTTTTTTCTGGTGATAATCATCTAACATGCTCTAAAACGATTATTTTAACGTTTATAAATAAAACTAATGTTTGCCCTTACAGTTTCCTAAAGAAGGAACAAAACAGATCCGTTTTTGAGACATAATCTGCATTTCGAATAAGCTACACAAGTCGCACAAATATTTCGACTTTGCAGAAACACAAGATATAAATTTTAAATTTTGTCACAGACTTATCTACAGCTTTGTATCTAATACAGAAGCGTTTGATTTTATTGTAACGGACCCTGTGTGTTCTTATTCATGAAAATGTGTAAGAATAAAAAGTCCGGACAAGCCTTCAGACTCTATTTAATCTTTTTGTGGAAAAGTATAATTGAAAATTTTTACTTGACAATATATATTTTATTATATACTTATAAATGAATATTGAGAAATATTGATGAAATAAAAAGCGTATTTTCATTTTCCGTATTTTCACTGTAAAAAAGTATTTTTCACTGCGGTGAAACATATTTTCCGTTTTTATTGGTGTATTGCCGGACTACTTTCTTTTAAATTTTGCAAGTACACAAAATTTAAGGCAAAGTCTTTCAAACTGTAATGTCAAAAAAGAGAAAAATGTATATAATAAACAGAAAATTCAAGTTTTTTTCTATAAATACATGATTTATATATACCTTGTTGCATGAAAATTATCATATTCACTTGTGGCTACCGCCACTCATGAACTATTTATTTTCATACCACTTGTGACAATAAATCCTGAATTTATAGAAAACACTTGAATATCCTCTATTTAGAAGGTGTTTGGAAATTTATATACTGTAGATCGAGCTCTTCAAAATAAAGAATCTTTTCGATTGCCTCTGTTTCTGTCTTTGTTTTTTTAATTTTTTAAAAATCTTCTTATCAGTAACTTACATTATTATCAGAGATACTGATTTGTTGGACCACAATTCCTTTTTCGTGCATATCAGCAACTCTAGAGAAATCTGTAAATATATACATGTACATTAAATGTTCAAGTGAAATGATCATAGAAAGGTACCTTAAACATTTGGAAGAACATGTGTTAATATTTCAATATTACCATTGCACCTTCCACTGTCGAGAAATAGAGGAATATAGTTTTAATTTTTTAATTATAGAGATTTTTAATTCTTGCATTAAATAAAATGCTTGCATTAAACTGCGCATGCAAGTATGCAATTACGTAGGTAATATGAATTCACGTGCAAAGATTATACGAGTATGGTGGCTGATTTGTGCCATTCGTGTTTTCGCCCCGCGACCCCGCCAAACGAAAAGTCGAAAATTAACAAGTTAAAAATGGCGGGGTGGGAGCGAAAGCGAAAACACGCTAATAAGCGAGGGCGCGGGGCGAAGTTTAATAAATAAAACTTCGTCCCGCGGGGACGCGGAGCGAGATTTAAGAAATAAAACGTTGGGGTCGCGGGACGAAAAAGACACTAATTAGCAGAGGCGCCGGGCGAAGTTTAATAAATAAAAACTTCGCCCCCCCCCCCCGCTTATTTGTGTGTTTCGTCCTGCGACCCCGCCAAGCGAAAAGTCGAGAATTAACAAGTTAAAAGGGCGGGGGCGCGGAGCGAAAAGAGGCGCATTATCAGTCTATTGTAAAAGCGTGAAGAGGGGCACACACTTTCTGTTACACAGTTACAAACAGAGCTGCAATATGTTTACACCTTGATCCTAAATACAACATGAACATATAATCATGTATGTATAATTAATGAAACTTTCCCCGGATAAAGGCGCTTAGCGTAATTAGAAAGATCGATCTGCAAAGGAAGTTAATCAATAACTTATATTGGAATCGATGCTGACTTATCAAAGGATGGTGCAAATGATCAGCAAATTTACCTTGATTTATTCAGAATTTATTTCAGTTCGATTGTGTACTAAGCTTATTGCTTATTGGCACACTCTCGAATCCGTTCCTGGAACTAAGCAGTACTGAGCAACTGACCAACAGTTGGCCTCTGACGGGGTTTGAGCACACGCGGCAGCGATCCTTAGATTACTGGCCACTCAGCCAGTCAAATTAACCTTACATTTCTATTGTGGTTTAATGTGCGTAGTAATTTTTAAGTAGGACAATTGACATTACGCCAGAGAAGAGATTGCTCCGCCCACTGATTCACGTGTCCCGGTCAGTACAAAAGCCTACTAGGACTAAAGCCCAATGAACAAACGCCCACTAGGACAATAGCCCACAGGGATACTAGGACAAAAGTCCACCAGGACACGAGCCCACTTGGACAATGACCAACTAGGATAATAGCTTACTATAGTCAATTTTTTATATTATTTCTATAGCAAAAATCAGAGGTGTTATCTTATTTATATTTTCTTAATAAAAAAGAAATGTTAATTATCTGATTATATATGTATTGTTTTGTACTCAAGTAATGTTATTATAGAACAAAACTTTCATTTAACAGTAAATGAGCAACAAAACCAACATAATGGGTTTGCGACCAGCATGGATCAAGACCAGCCTGCGCATCCGCGCAGTCTGATCAGGATCCATGTTGTTCGCTATCAGTTTCTCTACTTGTAATATAATTTGAAAGCGAACAGCATGGATCCTGATCAGACTGCGTGGATGCGCAGGCTGGTCTGGATCTATGCTGGTCGCAAACGCACTATGTTGGTTTTGTCGTGACGCGGCTCATATATATACCTTTTAAGGTAAATCTATCCCATATTTCATCAGAATTGACGATCACCAGTTTAACATATAAATTAATTTTCATTATGAAAACATGTTTAAAACAATAATTATATATTTCATAAAAATGTTTAAATTTGGTTTTCAACTCGTTTTGGGCAGCATTTGGCTATTTTCTATCTTTTTTGTCCAGTGTGCTATTGTCCAGTGCGATTTTGTCCCGGTGACCAATTGCCCAATTCCTGGCAATTGGCAGTCTAATCGGGTGTCGAACATGGGAACCGTTTCGCATATTTTAACACACTGTTTAAATACGTAGGTAGACAACCTTATATTTTGCTCACGTGGTCTAAAGAAAAATACGCCCACAGTTATTTTCCAAATGGTTACTTATTATATTCTGTTACCTTTTTTCCCGTGGCTTGGTTCTTTTCGAACAACACGTCACCAAAACCAATAACTTACTTAACTATTTTTTTATTTTGACCAAACAAAACGGTACATAAATCTTTAGCAATAATTTCTATTATTAATAAAATCAGTTTTACTTACAGCACTGGTTTGAATAAAGCAACATCATCTGTAAAAGTAGGGTGGCTGTCGTCAGGAAAACCACCACATGTGTAAACTTCACTCCAACCATTTCTCACACACGTGACCCCCTCGGTATTTATCCAAAATCTCTTTGAAAGTCACTGTACAAAATACAATTTAATCCATTACTATACAAATCTTTATAGATGTTGCAGGTAAAATAACGCTCATTTTATTCAACATATTTCTTCCGGTTTAAGATATCACAGTTAAAAATAAATTTATTTGTTTACAACTGTACATAATTATATACTTGTATGTATATGTAAGTATCATCAACATTTTATGATTGTTGTATATCAGCCATATACTGTGTAATTAAATGAATAACTTTCGATCGAATTATTGTTGTCGAGACATCTTAATTCAATATAGTAATGTTGATAAGAGCTGTTTTATGAGAGAGTCCACGTGATCAGGTCGATAACAACATGTGTCTGAGATCTGATTGGATCAAATATCGTTTGAATGAATAATATCTTAATATGATTATTCTAAAAGTGAAAATCCCATCACTTCTGATAACACACTGAGATTAGGAGGGTTAAGGTGAATACCAAATGAACAGTTTCATTCAATCAATCGCAGCGGTTGTTCTTTCATCAATATGCATATGAAAGACGATACGGTATAGAATGTTTCGCCCGATAGTGCCTGAAAGGGCGGATGTACCCTCGTTAGATATAGACTACCTGACCTCACCTTTCGCCCGATAGTGGTACGTGAAGGATGTCATTTTTATATATACCTGTATATAATACGAGTTTCATGAATATAGATTATCTCTGGACGATTTTTATGATTCAACATTTTAGATGTATATGTTTACATAACTAGTCGCTATGTAGTCCACATTATCAATTTGATAAGTCACACTTTTTTTTAGCTTATCTTGATTGTACTTGCCATATACTATATTTACATGTATGATTAAAACATTAATCATGAATAATATAATATTAATACATAGAGGATATTTCAATACAGGAATTATTTACATCGAGTGGTATGAAAATAAAGATGTCACGTGTGGCAGTAGCCACGAGTGTAAAATATGATAATTTTCATACCACTTACCACAAGATGAAAATTAATCCTGTATTAATAGACAAAAACTTGATTTTTTTTGTTTATTATATACTTTTTCTCTTTTTAAACCTAATGAATAGAAATAATTCAAAAGAAAGTAGTCCGACAAGACACCAGTGAAAATACGGAAAATTTGTTTCACTGCAGTGAAAAATATTTTTTTACAGTGAAAATACGGGTAAAAATACGCATTTTATTTCATTAATTTAAATTTATAAGTATATAATAGATGGTTATATGTTGGGCAATCTCCTGGATTAGACCCTCATGTATATTTCATTTATAAGTATATAATAAATGGTTATATGTAACGCAATCTCCTGGATTAGACCCTTATGTATATTTCAGAAGTAAAACTTGTATATTTCATTTATAAGTATATAATAAATGGTTATCTATTGGGCAATCTCCTGGATTAGACGCTTATGTATATTTCAGAAGTAAAACTTGTATATTTCATTTATAAGTATATAAAAATGGTTATATGTTAGGCAATCTCCTGGATTAGACCCTTACGTATATTTCAGAAGTAAAACTTGTATATTTCATTTATAAGTATATAATAAATGGCTATATGTTGGGCAATCACCTGGATTAGACCCTTATGTATATTTCAGAAGTAAAACTTGTATATTTCATTTATAAGTATATAATAAATGGTTATATGTTAGGCAATCTCCTGGATTAGACCCTTACGTATATTTCAGAAGTAAAACTTGTATATATTTCATTTATAAGTATATAATAAATGGTTATATGTAACGCAATCTCCTGGATTAGACCCTTACGTATATTTCAGAAGTAAAACTTGTATATTTCATTTATAAGTATATAATAAATGGTTATATGTTAGGCAATCTCCTGGATTAGACCCTTATGTATATTTCAGAAGTAAAACTTGTATATTTCATTTATAAGTATATAATAAATGGTTATCTGTTGGGCAATCTCCTGGATTAGACGCTTATGTATATTTCAGAAGTAAAACTTGTATATTTCATTTATAAGTATATAATAAATGGTTATCTGTTGGGCAATCTCCTGGATTAGACGCTTATGTATATTTCAGAAGTAAAACTTGTATATTTCATTTATAAGTATATAAAAATGGTTATATGTTAGGCAATCTCCTCGATTAGACCCTTATGTATATTTCAGAAGTAAAACTTGTATATTTCATTTATAAGTATATAATAAATGGCTATATGTTGGGCAATCTCCTGGATTAGACCCTTATGTATATTTCAGAAGTAAAACTTGTATATTTCATTTATAAGTATATAATAAATGGTTATATGTTAGGCAATCTCCTGGATTAGACCCTTATGTATATTTCAGAAGTAAAACTTGTATATTTCATTTATAAGTATATAATAAATGGCTATATGTTGGGCAATCTCCTGGATTAGACCCTTATGTATATTTGAGAAGTAAAACTTGTATATTTCATTTATAAGTGTAAAATAAATGGTTATATGTAAGGCAATCTCCTGGATTAGACCCTTATGTATATTTCAGAAATAAAACTTGTACATTTCATTTATAAGTATATATAATAAATGGTTATATGTTAGGCAATCTCCTTGATTTGACCCTTACGTATATTTCAGAAGTAAAACTTGTATATTTCATTTATAAGTATATAATAAATGGTTATATGTTAGGCAATCTCCTGGATTAGACCCTTATGTATATTTCAGAAGTAAAACTTGTATATATTTCATTTATAAGTATATAATAAATAGTTATATGTAACGCAATCTCCTGGATTAGACCCTTACGTATATTTCAGAAGTAAAACTTGTATATTTCATTTATAAGTATATAATAAATGGTTATATGTTGGGCAATCTCCTGGATTAGACCCTTACGTATATTTCAGAAGTAAAACTTGTATATTTCATTTATAAGTATATAATAAATGGTTATATGTTAGGCAATCTCCTGGATTAGACCCTTATGTATATTTCAGAAGTAAAACTTGTATATTTCATTTATAAGTATATAATAAATGGTTATCTGTTGGGCAATCTCCTGGATTAGACGCTTATGTATATTTCAGAAGTAAAACTTGTATATTTCATTTATAAGTATATAATAAATGGTTATCTGTTGGGCAAATCTCCTGGATTAGACGCTTATGTATATTTCAGAAGTAAAACTTGTATATTTCATTTATAAGTATATAAAAATGGTTATATGTTAGGCAATCTCCTCGATTAGACCCTTATGTATATTTCAGAAGTAAAACTTGTATATTTCATTTATAAGTATATAATAAATGGCTATATGTTGGGCAATCTCCTGGATTAGACCCTTATGTATATTTCAGAAGTAAAACTTGTATATTTCATTTATAAGTATATAATAAATGGTTATATGTTAGGCAATCTCCTGGATTAGACCCTTATGTATATTTCAGAAGTAAAACTTGTATATTTCATTTATAAGTATATAATAAATGGCTATATGTTGGGCAATCTCCTGGATTAGACCCTTATGTATATTTGAGAAGTAAAACTTGTATATTTCATTTATAAGTGTAAAATAAATGGTTATATGTAAGGCAATCTCCTGGATTAGACCCTTATGTATATTTCAGAAATAAAACTTGTATATTTCATTTATAAGTATATATAATAAATGGTTATATGTTAGGCAATCTCCTTGATTTGACCCTTACGTATATTTCAGAAGTAAAACTTGTATATTTCATTTATAAGTATATAATAAATGGTTATATGTTAGGCAATCTCCTGGATTAGACCCTTATGTATATTTCAGAAGTAAAACTTGTATATATTTCATTTATAAGTATATAATAAATAGTTATATGTAACGCAATCTCCTGGATTAGACCCTTACGTATATTTCAGAAGTAAAACTTGTATATTTCATTTATAAGTATATAATAAATGGTTATATGTTGGGCAATCTCCTGGATTAGACCCTTACGTATATTTCAGAAGTAAAACTTGTATATTTCATTTATAAGTATATAATAAATGGTTATATGTTGGGCAATCTCCTGGATTAGACCCTTACGTATATTTCAGAAGTAAAACTTGTATATTTCATTTATAAGTATATAATAAATGGTTATATGTTAGGCAATCTCCTGGATTAGACCCTTATGTATATTTCAGAAGTAAAACTTGTATATAATTAATACATTATATGTTATATATGAACGAAGGATTGGATAACCACACTAGAATACAGTATTTATGAACGAAAATATGCAATATTTGAAAAAATAATTAAAAAAATAAAGATTTACTATGCTCGAATTTGATATTAGAAAAAATGATAATTGCTACACAGTCTCTTTTGACATATAAAATAGATATATATGTTCGAAATTATGTTCACAATATGAATATATATACATGTACTATTGTAGTGTCATTAAAAACCTGGCAGTTTTTATTAAGAAAAGACCAACTTTACTGGAATTGTAAAAGAGGAACGCAGCTTTCCATACATAGTTTATTCATTCTTTTATTCAATTTAGACATATTCGGTAAGAACACCATATATTTTTTTAAAATCTTTGATTTAAATATATTACTCAAGGAAAAGCATAGTATATCTTTAAATGATTTAGAAAATTAAATGATGTAAAAAATTAAATGATTAAAAAATAATAATATGTATAAGATGTACGATCAAAGATAGAATAATTATTTGTGTTTACTGACCTTCACACTAGGTTAACGAAATCACTGTTTCATTTATTGCTAGTTTATATGATTCAATGTGTATAGTTTATTGCGAGCACACAAAAGTTTCTGCTATACTTCCGAAGACCGTGTCAACATTGTATAATTTTGTATCATTTGTTACGAGCACAGAAAGTAGACGCGTTTAGCCACTGTAAGTTCTAACATTGAATGAAAACTAAAAACACTGTAATTTTTCCAAATACATTTGTTTCCCACATCTATTGTATTTCATTTAATAACATATTGACCGGTAAAAATCCAGTTTAAATCATCCAATTACATGAAACATTCGAAAATCATTTAAAACCGATTTAAGGCAAATAATCTAAAATTTATGAAGCATTCATTGCTTTACTTCGATGTTTCTTGTACTTCAAATATAATAGCGTATCTGTATGTTTATTGACACAATTTTAAACACTATCAGTGATACCAGATTCACCCCCTCAAGGTAGTTAGTTGACCACATCCGTGTAAACTGTAAAAATACCCGCTCCATTCACCGGTACAAATACCCCAGACAATATGTTATCAAACAGACATTAAATATGGCAAATGTGTACGTCAGTTAAAGCGGTATATCAAAGCAAATATCAAATAAATAAAATGTGTAAATCATTAAAATCCAAACACAGCGTTTACTCGCTTTTATCACTTTGAACGTAATATATGGCCCATATATAATTTTGAACGGTCAATTTCCAGTATAAAATAAAAAAAAAGATTGACACCATTGTACGGATAATATGGGATGTTATTTCGCGTGACATTGATTGCGCTTAACAGATCGTTTTGATGTGACATTGACGTCACGCTGCAGACTATTCTGCGTGACACAGTAATCATACACTTCAAAAATAAATAAATATATAAATAAATAAATAAATAAATAAATAAATAAATAAATAAATAAATATAAATAAATAAATAAATAAATAAATAAATAAATAAATAAATAAATAAAAAATAAATAAAAAATTTAAAATAAAATGAAATAATAATTAAAAAAATACAGCATTACTACACATTGTATATAAATAACTTAATAAACTTAATTTAATTTTCTAATATATGTATTTTTAAAATGTAGGTGTGATTATTCTAAATATTTGCTCATGATCAACGTATAAAAACCATCGTCTGCAAATGAATTTAATATTATTTTCTACTTTTTGCTAGTACTTTTCTCCATTTAAAACAAATATTACTGTAAATAAATAATCATATTATTTGTAATCTTATTTTTGTATTCAACGTATCTTATAGGCCCATTGAGTCGAGTACTTGTATTTTAAATGTAAATATAATGTAATTATATGATGTACAAAACATCTACCTACTCACTTACTCATAGCATATTCACGAAAAATCGAACACATTTTCGTTAAAATTTATGCTTTATTAGTAAAAAAAGTATTTAAGCAATTTATTCAATTATTTTAATTTAACGGAAGGAATAGATGCGCGCGACTACGTTATACCCAAACAAACCAACAAGAAGTTCGGCAAAGTTATATCACACCGTGAGAGATATGAATATTATTTCTCTGATAACTCACTGGTAAGTATAACTTGCAGTATATATAAACGGCGTGGCAGAATGGATATCCGTCCGGGTTATTGGCCGCATGGGTTTAAACCCCATCAGGGGCAATCCGTCGCCTCCTTGAGTAAGAAACCTTACAGTCATTGCTTAGTAGGGTTCGAGTGTTTTTACACAAAGAGTCGAACTTAACTACATACATGTATATATTCTGTATAAACCTAAATATAGAACTATCGTAAAAGAAATTCTTTATCTAACTAAAATTGTAAACACGATCTTAAAAAGTAGGTCATGATCTCGGCATGGGAACCGCGTTATCATGATTAAAAACTTTACTATAATATATTTCATATTAACCTATATCAACAGTGGTGTCACAAATCCGAGTTTCTGAATTGTCCACGATAATATATACACGTATATATCAAAACTACTTACTGCTTTTGAATATATTTTAATGCTCCACACACTTAATATATCATGACCCACTGCATTTAATTCAGTGTAGTCCATCTTTTGATCTAAAACGACACCTGACTCAGGGATCAATGTATGTATTGAACAAGATCAACGAAGAATACAGAGATCAGCCGACTGTGAATGTAATTACAACAAAATCCTATTAAGGCGGGTGTCATATAACAATTAAGTATTTTTAGATATATATGCGATATACAACTAAGAGCCTGTCATAACATTCCTAGCTCTAAGTAGACTTTGTCTTTTATGCTTGAAATTCTTTCGTTTTCTCTCATTATAAACCGCATTTGAAAGTTAAAGGCACATTGCGCCTCACACGCAAATAAATTTTAATTTTTAGAAGGGGCAAAAACGAATTTTGTTATGGTAATAAAGTAATGGTATTTGCGCATGTTAGTATCACCTTAAGAAAGTAGCACTGCATAAGAAATTATTTATCATAAAAATTGCAAAATGTAAACAAAGTTGTATTTTGACTTCCGTACAAAATACTAAATTACTATAACTGCATTGATTTCCAAAAAGCAACAGAAGTGGCACATTTTTTAAGTAACTGACCAATGAGCTAAATCAGGACGTGAGAAAATAAAAAAGCTTTTCAGAAAGAAAAATAAAAACATTTCTGGGACATAATGGGCCTTTGACAATGATAGGTAATCGCTATAAGGTACATTACAGATCTTCAATGTCTTAAAGTGACATTATGCCCATTCATGGATAGTAGACAGACGAAAGTCAAAATAAGATAACATTTTCTCATAATTGCTTCCAATTTTGTAATTTACTTCACATGAACGATAAATAACTCACTAGGCCCTGTGATGTGTGTGTGTAATTATCCGTAACTTTCAATTTATAAAAAGAGTTGGACAGTCTTTTTATATATTTAGGTAGATATTTTTTACCCTAAACGTTTTCAAATATCATGTGTTGGTCAATGACCATTTTAACGACCAGTTTATTGAAATATATAGTCAATTAAAGTCAATTTGACAATGAAAAAAATGAGCATAATGTCACTGTAACATAAAATAGTGGGCATTTTAATGTGTCGTTTGATTAAAGCAAAATATCTTAAATGTACTTATTCTTCTTTCAATACAGACAAATCAATTTATCACTTTTATGGAAAATTAAAAAAATTGTACCAACTGAAAAGCGATCAGTGCCGAGACCCAGCCATATCCGTTTATTTCCGGCCAAGGACCTC